CAGCTGCAGGCTCCATGAGCTCAGGGCACAGCCCAGGCCCTCGCAACGGACGAGGAAGCCTCACCACACGCAGCGCATCAGAGAGACAGTACCTTGCACACTTGTGTGTGGCATGCCATCCAGCACTCAGACCCAAATGACAACAGTAAAAAACTCAGTTTATTTCCCTATAAAGGCAGAGCTTTCCTTTAAAAACCAGCTTGTGAGAGGGTGTGGGGTTGAACTGCAGGGGCAAGGCCTTCCTCACTCACTCTTCCAGGCCAAGAGCTATCGCTCCCTGAGAGTCACACATGCTGAGCAAGTCCCCCACCATGTCCCAGGGGCTGCTCAGCCTCAGCTGGTCCCCAATTGCCACCACGAGCAGTGAGGTGGGAGAAACAAGCAAGGCAGGTCAGACACAGTGCAATCCAAGGTGCACTGGCTGCATCCTGCAGGCTTGGAGCACTTGGGATGGCTCTGTATGCTTTGGGAGTGGGCAGAGTGAGGAGCACCGGTCCACCAGCCTCAGCTGGGAGCAGGGAGCAGCTGCAGTTTGAGGCGGTTCATGCAGGCGGAGAGCAGGACAAGGAAGCGGGTGTCGCAGTCTATGCACTGCATGGCAGCGGTGCCAGCAGACCCCATGCCTGGGGGGCAGTGCCAGGGGCAGGGGCAGGCACTGTCTGGCCCAGGTGCAGGCACAGGGTGAATCCTGAGTGGCTGGTCCATTGTTGCAGAGATTTGGCTTAGCCCAGGGGAGTCTTTGGGCCAGCAGTCCTGGGGCCAGCTGTGGGGAGGTTGTTCCAGCTGTCTGGGGGTTGCCCCAGGCGGTAGCACAGTAGCTGCGCAATAGGAGAGCTTGCTCTGGGCACAAAAGGTGCTGACTCTGAAAAGCAAGAGGGAGGAAGACTCAGTCCATGAGGTGTGTGGTTGGAAACCCAGCACAGCCTGGAAGGGGAAGCAGACCTTCCCAGGTGAGCCATCAGCCCCCTCCCCCTGCAGAGGACATGCTGGGGGATGTGGCAAAGCAGCACTAAAGGAAGAAACTTACCTGCTGGGCTGTGGGCTCCCCTCCCCAGCTCCTCCATGCTGCTTTGGAAGAGAGCAGAGCACCCATCATATCCCAAGCAAGGCCTGCTGAGAGACACAGCATGCTCATGACCCTGACAACGCAGGCACGGCACAGCAGTACCAGGCACTCATGAGTGCAGAAGGCCCTAGCCCACTTGCTACCAAACCCTTTTCCCAGGCCAGCCTGTCCTGAGACTGTAAAGTCACATCTCCTTCCCATCAGCAGCCCCCACGTACAAATGGCTGCCACTTCACAGGGCCACATACATGGCTCCAGTCTGTGCATGCACTGATTCCCAGCTGAGACCAGCTCAGACCAGGCTCAGCCCTGTGGCGCTGACAGACCCCAGCTAGGTGCCAGCTTCCAGGCACACGGAGAACAGCCACAATGGAACAGGCCTCTCTCACCCACCACCACAGGCACTTCTGCAAAGACCTATAGGTTAATCCTCCACTGCTGGGCTGGTACCATCAGCTCCTCCCAAGCACAGGATAGATACCACCAAGTTCAGCCCCAGGCCCTAGTCCACACAGAAGTCAGCATGACCAGGCCTCCATCCTGGCCCAAGCCCCAGGGAAATCAGTGGGAGGAGAGGGACAACTCTGAGTCTCACCTGAGAAGCATGTCTGGATAGGCTGGCCTCAGCAGAGTGGTAGAAACAGAACAAGTAACATCTCTGGGTACATCCTGAGAGTCAGCAACTGTGTCCCCCCCAGCTCCACTGCAAAAGCTGAACTGCAAGATCTGCCCCTCCACAGTTCAGCTCCTTGTTCACTCGACCTCTCAGCTGACAGAGGCAGAGAAAGCAGCAGGAAGCTCCCCCTTGCTCCCATGCAGACCTCCTCCATGCTCCTACCACGCCTGTGGCCCCAGCAGCTACCCTTACATGGGGAACAGAGAAGGAAACAAGACAGGGTTCAGAGAGATCCCTGAACACAAGCAGCAGCTCACCAACTACCTACCCAGATAAGGTTTCACTGATGTTATCATCTTCCTCCTCCTCTTCCTCCTCCTGGCAAGCAAACAAAACAAAACAAAAAAAAACCCAGCATGACACCTCACTGCCTGGATAGGTTTCTGCCAGGAGCAAGGATGGACTGCCTGTTCTGCAGCAGCAGGGCAGTCCCCGGCCCCTTCACAAGACACAGTCACCCACCAGGTGTGGCCCAGACAAAGGGTGCCTACAGGCAGTAGGGGGAAAGATGGCACCTTCAGTGCTGGGCTGCTGAAATCCTCAGAGCTCAGGCACACAGCCACACAAGGGGAGACACACACCACAGCTCTTCTCACATCCCCTCCAGGCAGCAGAGCACCAAACACAGGCTGTGAGCGGGGAACAAGCCAAGACAGCTGCTGCACACAGCACACCTTTGCCCAGAGACAGGAGTCGGGTGAGCGCATCTTGCAGCTGGAGGGCCAGGCAGAGGACCACCTGGGAGCAGGCTGTAAGCACATATGACCCCAAGCACTGCCAGGGCAGGCCAGCACTGGAAGCATGAGGCCAAAGACCAAGCATCCAGAGGCTCCTGGGCAGGAACACAGTGAGACCTACAACACTGGCAATGCTCTGCTTGGCTCTGGACATGCAGTAGGTGTAGTGCAGATGGGCAGGGCTGAGCCTTACTCCAGGCTGGCAAGATGATGACCAAAGGGTCCTCTCCTTCAGAGACAGTGGCTCACCCCTAGCCATGGCACCAAGTGTGCAGAGCAGGTCCCAGCTCCCTGTTTGACAGTACCAGCAGAGCAGGGCTGAGGGCTGCAGCAATGCTGGGCCTGACAGGGGAGCTCCTGGAGCAAAGACCACCTCAGGAACTGCGCCTGCCTTGTGAGCCAGACAAAGCACAGTACCCCTCTTCATGTCTGGCCACCACATGTGAGGGAGGCTGTGCAGGTATCGACAGGGTCCTGGAAGGCCAGGAGCAGGGAGCTGCATAAGGGTTACTCTTTTCCTGCCCTAATGCGAGACAGCCCTGGGCATGGGCCAGACTTGCACATACTGTACCCCAAACTGGTGTCTGAAGGGAGGGCTCCCCCGGGGGGCTGGCTCACTTGGTCTGCCGGGCTCACTGCTCTCCAAGACACATGAAGGGTGAAGGGGCTGTTCCTGCCTAGAGCCTGGGACAGGGCAAAAGCAGCAGTTAGTGCCTGCAACCTGGAGAAGGCCCAGGAGGGGATGTACAGGCAGGACTGTGGGCAAGGGACAGATACCCCTGCTGTGCCCGGGGGAGGGTGCAAACAAGGGTGCAGGATCACTGCTCGGGGCAGGTACCACAGGGCCCTGAGCTGTGCTACAGCTCAGCAATGCAGAAGAGTTCAGGACGGATAGCAAGGACACCCCCCAGCCAGAGACAGGGCACGCTCCCCATGTGGGACAGTGGCAGAGAACACAACAGCAGCAACAACACTCTCCCTGCTTGGTGTGTTTCATCAGCCAGGCAGCGAGCTGTCTCTCCTCCACACAGCCCAAGACAGGGTCCCACACTGGAGAACCCGATCCCAGGGCTAGGCAGAGGGACATGTTTGAAAAATTCCTCCTACCTGCATGTGCTGCTTCCCAGAGATCCAGTGCCATCTGGAAGGCCTGGGCCACAGTCAGTGTCACAGCCTGGGCCTGTGTACAAGAGAGAGAGAATGTCTGCTTCCATCTGGGCCCTCAAGCCAGGACAAGCCCACTGCCACAAAATCTGAGAGCCTCCAGGCTTCCCTTGCTGCCTTTCTCTGCAGAGCACACACAGAGAAGGCCAGAGCTCCATGCTGCGTCTGCCTACCCATGTGGGCCAGCCATTCCCAAGAGGAGATCCCAGAGGAGCTGTGACAGAAGAACCTCCTTTCACTCACCACCTGCCTCTGCAGTGTGTGAGCACATGTGCTCCCTGGCTCCATTTCCAGCTGAGGTGCAAAGAAGTAAGGGCCTTGTCTCCCTGAAGAGGGAGGAGGCAGGCCCTTGCTCCCACCCTTACCTCACACAGCCAAGAGCAGAAGCAAGTGCTTACAATCTTCTTCTTGGGTGAGAGGAAGGCATGGCACTCCAGTGCTCCACTCTCCTGGCTCTGGGCAACATAAGCGAAGACTTTGTTCTGCAGCTTGTCTGTTGTGCAGTAGGAGATCCTGTAGGCAGAGAGGAGCTGCTCAGGGCAATAAGAGACCGCAGCACAGCTCTTCTGCTGTGCTCCCAGCACACCAACAAGCGGTGCTGACAGCCTGAGGCTTTCATCTGTCCCAGATGATCAGGCAGCGCAACCCCCCAGCAAGGGCCAGAGGCTGTGTGGCACCTACAGCTAGTAGGAGATCACTGCATCCACAGGCATTCCCTCCTGCACTGCCCCAGTGTACTCCTCGGTTCTCTGAAGCCCAGTTCAACCCAATGTATGAACTCAAGCACTGAGAAAGAGGAGCACAGAAGGGTAGGTGATTGCCCCCAAGGACACGATTGGAGGCCAGGCAGTAGGATGGTCTGCCTTGCCACATCAGCTCTGGTGCCAAGACCGGAGTTTTGCACCAAAGAGATGTCCTGTCTCTGCTTCCCATCTAGCCACCAGCCTGCAGCCACACTCCCCTCATACCCAGCACCCACAGACACCCAACCCAGCCAAAGCACAGCTGGCAGCAGTAAAAAAAAACCCACATCAGCTCTCACAGCAACTGCCTTTAGCCAGCCCCAGTGAACTGCAGTCTATGGCACCCTCGTGCCATTGCAGCCAGAATGGCAGTGGCGTGTCAGTGGAGAGAAACAGACATGCAGTCCTGCCCCTAACTGTGGGGCTTTCCAACCATCAGCCTCGACATCCTGCTTGAATGTCTGAAGAGACAAGCAGGGCCCAGGGAAAAGACAGATGGACTGACCCAGAACTCAAGGCTGCACAGGACCCTGCCTGCATTCAGCCCCAGGCAGTGCTGTGGGGCACAGGAGGGAGAGGGCACAGGCCTCAGGGAGCCTAAGGAAGACCTAAGCTTGAAGGTATCACTGACAGAAGGCCCATCCCTCCCTGGCCACTCAAGACCCCACCAGTCTCCAGCTGGCTGTCGGGGAACACCCAGGCCCTCCAAATGCCATGCCCACCTGTAGATGGAGATGTTTTCAACCATCTCCTTCGTGTCTGCATCCTGCAGCGAGATGCCTCTTGGAGACACTGTCAGAATCACCTTCTGGAACTTGCGAGCTCCCACCCGTGCCTGGCAGTGGGGAGACACCAGACACCTCTGCAAATCTGGCAAGGGTCTTCACCCCTCCTTGCTGTCAGGAGTCCCCCAGACTCTGTACGGGGTGTCACCCACTTAGACCCTTGCTGCAAAGGCTCCTGCTGTAGGGATGGGAAAGCAGAGCCTGGAGATCAGGCATGCCCTGCATAGAACACCCCTGGAATCCATTCACACTACTGTCATGCACAGGGGAAACGACAGACCCCACCTCCCCCGGTACTTCACCCTCCTCTCCATGCTGTGACAGGCAGAGCTCTGCTCCTAGCTGTGTGGCCTGGTGTGGGAGCAGGCAGTGGTGGCTGTCCAGCAGGAAGACAGCTTCCCCCACAGCACACAGGCAGAGACCAGCCAGCCTCTTGGGAGCAGCATGGTCCCTCACTGTGGCTCAAGACTAGGACATGGACACTTCCCAGACTCCAGGGGCTGGGATCTGAATTGGGTCTTCTCCACCCCAGCACAGCAGGGCCCCAGGGCCAGCTCTCACCGTGGCCACGATCCTGCGGATGGCAGCAGCAGCCATGTCTTCTCCTTTGGGTTTTTCTACCAGCGTCATGCCTAGATACTTGAGTGTGAAGCACATCCCCTCAAGCAGCGGCTCCTGCATATCAGCCCAGCTCTCAGGAAGCTCTGCAAAGACAAAATGCATTAGAAGCCATGTGCCAGCAGCCCCATGACTAGTCCCAGCAGAACCACCCCACCTTGTTGCAGCTTGACTGTTTCCAGCAGCAGTGCTGCTACCTGCACTCAGCAGAGCACTCTCCTGGCTCTGTGACGTTCTTGGAAGAGGAACAGAATGAGAGGACAGTTCACCCTCAACGCTTTATAGTCCTCCATCCCTGGAGGTAGAGGCTCTCTCAGCACAGATAGTAAGCTCCTGCATAGGGCCTCAGATGCTGCAGTGTTCACTGCTATCAGCAAAAACCTTGCATTCCTGGGTCTCATCTATTTCACTATAAGCAGGATGTTCTCTGTACTGCATACATCTCACCCACCTATGCCACTGGCATACCTCAGGAACAGCAGCATTTGTTGCCACACTTGGTCAGATCAAAATCCCCAAGTTGTCCCAGTATAACCAAAGCCAAACCTTCTAGTAGCTATCATTTACAGCAGCAGGCTGCCAGGGAAGGGGTGGCTTGTGCAGCACTCGTGATCCAAGCTGAGGTGACTGGGAAGCAACTGCACCACAAAGATTCTGTGTTAAGGAAAAGCTCAGACTGGTATTTCAAGAATGCAAACTAGCTTCCACAAAAACACATTTTATGGATGAACTCCAATGCACAGAGGGAAGAGAGCTCCCATGTGCATTACTTTGCAGGTCACAGAATTAAAGGGGCACTGGCTTCTGTCTCCTGTGTCCTCTCTTTTCAAACCTCATTGCTGCAGTCAATAAAATAAAATAAAATAAAAAAAACAATGGTCAGAGTGTCTGTTCACTCAAGAAAGATTCCCTAGGGACAGTTTCCAGCATCTCCAGCTTCCTTCAGAAACCAGTCCATTTCACCAGCATGTTCTGCCACACGGCAGATGTGCTAGCGGGAGAAGGAGCCTTGGCCCTACAGCCAGTCCTGACACCACTACCATTGGCAGAGAACACACAAAGCAAGCACTGTAGAAGCATCTGTTCGACCTCTGCTTCCACAAGACAAAGCCGTTGACTTCAACAGATAGTTTGCTCTCATTGAAGGCAAAAGTTTTAGTTACCAGACTAGCGTGCCACAACACAAAGGAACAATTATCTTGTGCCAAGCACTTCCTGGTGATAATTTTCAAGGAGAGCTGAAGCAGATATTGGTACACATTTACTTTCCTCAAATCCCAAAGAGCACAAGAATGGTGAGAGAGGGGATACGCAGAAGGACTAAGACACACAGAGTCACAGTCTCTCTCTTGGGGATTCAGCCCACAGAGGAGGGAAGGAACAGGAACACAGAAGTTACACACTCTGCTACAAACACCAGGTTTGTACACTTCCCTGGGAATTGCCGAGGTATCTGCTGTTCACACTAAGCTAATACTTTTCAGGGTTATTTTTCACCTCTTTCCTGGGATTAGCTCCCTGAACATTACTGGCACACTTGCAGAAGGCTCTGACTCATAACTGGAATAACCTAAACCCACAGGGAAATCAGGAGACCTTATTTGCACAGCATACTCCTGCACAAATGACAACTACCAGGGAACCCACCTGGTACCAAGCAGGCATCAGGGACCTCTAACCAGGGTAGAGGAGCACAGTCTCATCCCGATCTTTGAGCACAGCCCACACGTGCCAGGGCTGCCAGGGTGAGCTCTGCTGTTCCACAAAGCCTTTGGGCAGCTGTGACTGAGAAAGCCCCGGCACAGCCCTCCTGCTCCACAGGGCTCCTGATGGGTCTGTGGGGCCGGTCTCGGATCTGGCTGTGGCACAGACAGCACGGCAGTCAGCCTGCAGCGAGCGGTGTGCAGGCCTGCTATACTCCCTGCACGCATGTCCACGCCTGCAGAGGACCAGGCACAGCAGTTCAGGGGGGCCAAGGCCTGCAAAGGCTGGGGATGGTGCCCGCGCATGAGAGACAGTGTGTTCCAGCACCTAGCGCTGCCAGCA